GGGGGGGGGGGGGGGGGGGGGGGGGGGGGGGGGGGGGCAGTGCACTCGCGCAGGGCGTTAGTGAACGGTGTTCTTAAACAACAAGATGCGAGTCAGAGATATCAGAGGGAACTGGGATCGCCCGCATCCGTGTCTTCACGTGGTGAGTTCTTGAAGTTAAAGCCCCGATATGAATGATTTCATCTAGTAGTTGTCTATGAGACCAGCGATTCCATGCCGAAATTAGCGTCGATCATTTTCCTCGTTACATATGGTTCAGAAAATCTAGGAAAGATAGGCATAGTGCTGAATTTCATAAAGTCACGTACGAAATCTCTGATCAAAGAGCAAAAATTCTATTTGAGGTCCAAAGCGAAACACGAACAAGTGTAAATAATGGAAATACTCTGGGGACAAGAACTGCAGTTCAAATATGCCAAGCCAACTCGGAGGCCTCCCTTTAACCTGCGATGAGCATCCCCCCTCCGAATCCCCCCTCGGGGCATTCATGTCGCGACAGGGAATGAATCCATTGCCTTTCCTCTCTATTTTTTTTGTTACTGCACTCCTGCAAGCATTTCTCTGGGCGCATTTCTTCCCCTTCTTCGCCGTCCCCTTATTAACCACGTAATGAATTCCGTTATGACCCTTTATGACCATCCTTATAGTTCATCCAGCAAGACTTGGACGACTCCCAGCTTTCCCTCCCCCTTGTCGTAAGGAATCGAAGGGGGAAATTTCGGTCGAGCAATTACAATTGGACCCTGTCTGATATGCATATGGACGCGTTCTCCAAGACGGCTCTTGAGAACTGAAAGTTTCCCTTCCTTAGAAATGTCAGATTTTGCAGACCTCTGCCAAATTCCGCAGCCCTCCAAAGTTCCCGTCAAACTGCAGAAGCCCTCGAGATGCGTCTCGTTTCTGTATCGCTCGTCACTCGAGAACCAGGCGCCGAAATTCTTAAACTTCCTCACCAGTTCCAGTGAGGTCTCCCTAACGGGCCAGGCGTAACGACTTCTCGAGAGGACCATGACCTGAGTTTTAAGGACGTTGAAGTTTCATTTCGGCCTCCGTACGTTCGGAGCCGAACCGATCCGTCATGCTCAAAAGTTCCTGTCGGGACAGGGTCAAAAATGAGAAAGAGGAAAATAGATTTCTTTTCGGGAACCGGACGAAATGGCCCCGGACGAAATGGCCCCGGACAAAATGGCTCCGGACATAATGTCCCCGGACATAATGGTCCCAAATGCAATGGAGGACATTGTTAGCCTTTGCTAACGAATAACTTTTGAGCCAATTTGCGAGTGACCCTAGATTTTTTGAACATGCGAGAAACGGAGATGTATGTCAATTCAGTTCGACGCAGAACGACGTTACAAAATGCTAAGCGAAAGATGGTCTCGGATAAGCAGTTTTGCTATTGAGTACCACTGACGACCTTCGCCAGGGTGCGAAAATGGACACACCTTGGAACACAAGATTGAAAAGATTGGCGAAAAAAAAACCAGAAAAATTGCGCGTTGACGTCGCTTATTGCAAAATAACTTTTTAATCTACACACTAATTGCAAGTACAGAAACAGGAGAAAGAAGGAACTGCAAAAAAAGATAATTAAGAAAATGGAACACGTAAATAGCTAAAGTTTGGCGTCGGCTCGTCCTCGCCTGCCATGGGAACCCAAATGCAATCACAAACTGTCAGCGTGCAGGCAATAGAGGATAATGCCATTTTCTCTGGAAAAGTCACTATTCATCTCGTCTGGCCCAGACATGGCGATTCCACGCTCGTCTGACTCAGACATGTCGACTCCACGCTCATCTGGCTGAGCACCCTGAATACGGAGGAGAGATGGGAGTCGGTTCCCGGAGTATATTGCCTCGGGTGTGGGGAAAAAAGCGCGCAGCTATTGGAATATTTATATCGGGGAATCGGTCATCGCTACAGTTATGCTTGTTCTGGGTTATATGCACCTACATCTTGTCTTTTGTATAATATCTATTTTTCCCACTTCTGGTTTAGCCACATAAGCATTTGAAGATCGCTATTTAAATATTTGGAAATTCCTCTCCGTTGCTTGTCTCCAACTAAAAAAATTAGTCAATATTCTGGCCACTCGCACCAACTTGTCTGTCGCCTCAGTTTTGACCAAGGTGTCGTCTAAGGGCGACATCGAAGCGTGCTTTCTGGACGAAAGAGTGCACTGACTTCATTCGAGGAACGATTCTTCGCTGTAAACTGCAGTTGAAGTCCAGGACGGCCTCAATTTTGCATCGATTTCGGCGAGTCTCCTTGGACTCGCGGAGATTTACATATATTTTACTTGTGGCCGAACCGGCATCGGGAAGATTCAGAAAAAAAATTACACGGAAGGAAAAATGTGGATGCATCCAGATCCAGCTTCGATTTTCAGATATGAACATTCCAACAGCGATGCGTTTCAAATCGTCTTCGCACTCGGTGCGTTTGGTCGCAGATCCATCTGCAACTGACTCGTTTTCTTGCTGAAGCGATCTGGGAAATATTCCCCTGTTTTTGCAAGGACTCTGAAGATCAAAGCCCATCTTGTAAGTATTGGCAATTCTTCGACCGTTTTCCGGGAAAAAAAACCTGTTAGGATCCATACTCATCTGAACAGAAAGTCCTTCGAGTCCTCGAGAAAGTCCTTCAAGTCCTTGGCAATTGCTTTTTTCCCCTCATTATCATGGGTCTTTATTCTCCGCGTTCTCAAACTTACGGATGTCTGCGAGGATTTCTTTTTTTTTTCTTCCAGTTCTTCCCTTGTTCTGTTATCGCCGATCTTTGCCATGCCGACAATCCAATCAACAAGGTTTTCGTTCTTTCGATGGTAGTATCTTCCGGGACTTAATGCTTAGTACTTGCTTAATGCATACACGTGCCGAAGCAGCTTTTAGACTCTCTGCCGAGCACGAACGAGGGTTAGACCATTCCATGGTCTTTGTCTCCGTCTTTCCTCCTTTGGTGCCATTTTCAGGTTTTAAATGGATTTTTGGGTTCAATGAAACGGAAAAGCTTTAGCGTGAAGGGAAAAAAATTTCCAGAAGCGCTTGGAAGACACTGACGAAATATGAAAGCTTTTCTGCGCCTAAGTGCTGTTTCGAGGAAATTTTTTTTTTTCCTAATCGTTTTCTCGGGGCTAATACTGCATTGCAGGAAATGAGGAAATGCCTGCTTCCGCGAACCCTCTCGCACATGTAATTTTTCGTCCACGAAAACTCCAAAACTGCAGACTTTTTTGTAAAACCATTACGAAGAAAATACATGGCACTTCAGCGTGGCACGGCGGAGATAACCTGAACCTGTAAAGGTGACTGACTCAGCCAGACCGCATAAAAATCCAATTGCACAATGCATGTGGGACGATTGCACATTTTTTCATTCCGCTCCCACGAGGAGTCATTCTGATGAGCTCGCAGAATCTTTGAGAGAAAGGCTTTAGTTAATGCGAGAGATGGAGTGTGACTCTAGAGAAACGTGGTGTCAGCCCGCATCTTTTCACTCTTCATTGGCCATCTGGCTCGTATTCAAAAGCCGGCGTCCTTTGTGGAATGCGAGATGCCTGCCCAAGAAAAAATATACAGGGTGTTTCAAAAGTCCGGACTCATAAGCAGATTTCCTAATTTACCTTTATGTCATTAAATGTTCAAATTGCATGCCATGAACTTGCATACACATATAAATCCTGGCACATTACCCCCTCTGAATGTTTCTTAGTACTTCTGTACTAATTTTGGTGCACTCATTCATTGAGAAATTTAATTAATTCAAAATACCCATGAATACGGACTTTTGAAACACCCTGTATATCCACGAGGATGGGTACTGGAATCGAGGGGCTCAATCCTACGCTATTCAATTCCATATTTCTTTGCGGTAAATGTGTCGCTGAAAACGTTCCAAATATTTTATTGGACTGAAGGAAAAGTGGCTTAACGGTGAGGGAGGAGAGAGGGTCGTTAATGGCTCATCCCCGACGAATATAAAAAGTAGTGCTAGGAAGATTTTTGTCTTCCTTTTCCCTTCTCACATTCTCCAATAAGGAGTAATAGGTTATACGTACTTTTAATGACTAGACCCTAGTCGTGTAATCTGATTTTCAGACGAGGAGGCATGCATCTACCACTCAGACCATAGACGCATATATAATTTACTTCGCACCGGCATCGTGTTCCATCTCAGGACTCCAGCAGAAGGGGGAAGAGGTCAACAATTATTAGGGGGGGGGGGGGGGGGGGGAAGGAATTTTCGGCGAATGATTGGTCGGCCAATCATTCGCCGAAGATGAGCCAACGTGACTGAGAAGGTTCCGAAAACCGGCGTGAGATGAAGTCAAAGTGGTCGTAGTGGGGTCACTTCTATTCAAAGGACTCCTTTTGAGGTATGCAAATATGGAAGCTGACAGCGTATGACATGAGGGCCCAGGTCTGAGTTTAGGGTGTGTCCAAGCCACCCTTTGCTTTCGGGCTCCTCAATTCCACCCATTATATTACTGACACCGGATGTCTGTAAGGTGGATTTTTGAACAAAGAACTATCCGATGATGCTGCTTTATTTCCAGGAAATATCTTGCATTTTCCCTGGAATAAAGCTGCATTATCAGATAAAGGACAAAAATCCACCCCTAGTGCCCATGAGGGTTGAGCCTCATCTTTATTTGAGATGAATCCGGTGCTTCTCACTCCTTCATCTGCAGGACTTGATTTTCTTGAGGGAGAACTGCAGAGATCATTTCTGGAGGAAGTTATTTTTTCACGTTGTGGAAAGAGAGGTTCGCCCGCTCCGATTTGCCTTTTTTTTCTCCTTTTTCCTCCTTCTGCCATCCCCCTAATGCAAATATGAATTTCTCGAGAGGCCAATGTTTCCTCCCTGCGCATCCCAGTGCGAAAGGAAAATCGTCCCTTCCATTCGAAGGGTGGCAATCAACTCGGATCGGTATATTCACCTATCTCTGGCGCGAAAGCTCATACAACAGAGTCAAGTCTTCACCGCACTTTTCCCGAGAGCTTTGAGGCTGATGAGGTGTCCGTCTCGAGAACCTCTGCCTTACTCCGAGAACTCCTTTTTCTGCGCTTCGAGCCCAGGATGGGAAGCTGTCGGATTTCGTTTAGACTGGAAATTAGAATCGGAGTACGAGTACGCGTATCTGGAGCAGATACGCGTCCTGAATTATCGACCATTGCTACGTGATTCCTTCGGGCTCAGTGGAAATCCCAGGCGAGATCGAGCTAATAAGAGCTTAGAGATCGAACGATCCCGACTCGGGATTCTAACGGCGTAACTACTCTGTCCTGAATCCTTGATTTGGTGGCTCGTTACAACGTTGTGTCAACGTCAAGCAAAGATTACTTTTAGTTGTGTCATCACAGCGTTGGGTGGAAGGTTGATTCTTTGTTACAGTGACGAAGCACAGTTCAACATTGAAAATACGCTCATGAATCTCGCTGTTTCAGCTTTGAATTGTTAACGTCAGGGCATTGCCTCGTCCTCGTCCTTTCTCGAGAGTGAGGTTGTGCTGATACATTAATTACTTAATTGGGATCTTTTGTCCCGTCTCTTCGCCTGAAAGTACTTCAGCGAGCTCTACCATTTCGCTGTTGATTCCATGAGATGTTGTAGGTGATTTCTTGAACCTGGTTCTGTCCTGCAATCGAGTATCTCCCTACCTTACAGGTCAAGAGTGAGACACTCTCGCAGGCAGATCAAAATGCTCTTTCGTCTTCGAGGGGAATAAAAGCTCCTTGTCAACGCCATTGAATGAAGTGTTGCAGCATTTGTCCTCCAGCCGCTGGGCCGAGGTTACCTCTTCAAATGGGCAATGGGTCAACCTCTTCCATTGAGGAATTCCCCAAGTTGTTCGTGGGAAATTATCGGTTCCATATAAGTAATATCAGGGATTCATTCCTGTGGCATCAGGGGGAGAATGGTTAGCTTGGCAGTTAGGCGCCATCTCGTGTCGGTTGGTAGAACCCATTTTCCCTCGAGAATGCGCTGGTAATTCAACATAGCCACAAGGTTGATATTGGTTTGTTGAGATCACGTGGACGATTCCGTATTAAAATAGGCATTGAGACCCTGGTGAAGGCAAAGGTGAAGAACAAATTTACGCTTGACGGCCTCCGAACGACTTCACTAATCCATGAATATGCTGAAAATTATATGCTGAAAATTTGTTTTAATTACGAACAGTCGACAATTCATTGCTGTTGATTCTTCGCTGATATTTAAACTTAATCCATTTCTCAACATTTCAGCCTACTGTCAATGCTGACACTATGTTTTTGTGCCGACCAGAAAATCAGACCTCCTGAAAATAGTTTTTCATGCCGTAGTCTTCGATTTAAAGAAAAATCATGAAGTAATTCAGGGAAATATGGGCGCAAGAGTTTCTCCTTAAGAGTTACCCACATGGAGCATTTCTAACTAAACGATTCACGTACGTAATGTCAAAGATATTTTTATGTGTTGAATGATTACGGCATCACGGGATGATAGCACGCGATCGTGGCTGATGATGTAAGGAGCATGGTGAACGCCTGCTAATAAATAAATATCCGAAATTTGTCATGCTTCGGACTCAATGTGAACCTTGCAGTGGAATGCATGAAATACAATCTTATACAGTGTTATGGAATACCTTACAATAAGAGAAATGGAGGTCGATGATACAATCATTTGATGGAGAGCTAATCAAAGGAGATTTCCTTCTCTCGCCACCCACGCTCGTATACACATGGGAAATCTCGGGACTTTCCATGCGAGCGACTTTTCGAGATCCGGATTTATCGCGAATAAGTGTCGTGCATGCCTTGCGACAGAGAACGTCAATATATTTTCCTTCCTGGCTGTAATCCGCGACTATTATGATGTGATGTATTGAAGTGCCCTCATTCCGCCATGTGCATCCACTGCCAAAAGCAAAGTGGCTTTGTCATGAAATATGAGTGTTTTCATACTAGCCCTCCCTCCCCCTCCATAGGAATGAATCCCTGATATTACTTATATGGACAAATCGGAGCGGGCGAACCTCTCTTTCCACAACGTGAAAAATCCATGTTGTCCAGTCTTACCATTAATTGTGCAACATTAGCAACTAGTCAGTTGCTTCTATCTACGGGAGTAATTCGGGAGAATATGAACAAATGCCCATATTCCCCTCCTCTCAGTTACCCGATCTGATGCTGCCATCCAAGTGATGAGTTTTGAAGCTTTTTCACCCCGATATCTAACTCGATAAATGTCGTGATTGGAAGACTGAACAAATAACGACTCGCTATTTTCCCGTTTTCACGGTATTTCTCCAAAAAAATTGAACTACCTAATACTCTAACTGAAAAAATTGCTGCACGTTAACATGGATGTACGTGCTCGGTACTGAAGCTGTATTAACTATGTTAGCACTAATAATTTTGTAAATTGGATCAAATTGAAGGGCGGTTAGGAAGCGGAATAATACAAACCGCGCGAGCCGAATCCAGAAGTGGACCACCTGTCCATGCCTGTTGGGGACAGGAGGAGGGTGAGGCAAATGGGTGGAGGCTGGGAGATGGAAGGAGAGCGCGCCGTATAGAATTGTTCAATATAGCATTACATTACAGCAAGCAATCCTGTCTACGCTGCCATTTGCTGCCACTCTCTTCGTTTGTCAACAATGGATTCGTCAGCGACCAAGGCCGGAAGGAAAATGACAGTTATGGTTGGTAATATACACCTAAGAGTTGTGCACACGCCTTGAGATCAGAATCCAGGGAAGCTGACTAAAGATCATGACTTTTTCATTGTGAACAAATGTTAACAATTCAAAATTCGCGCTAAAAATATCTGTTTTAGCACGATTTTGAAGAAGAAAAAAAGCTTTTCCTAATCTTGCTCCAATCCACCTTCGCACCAATTTTCACCTTAATTCCATCGATACTCTTTTAGGTATCGCCAGGCAACGAAGTACGAGAGAGAGAAAGACAAGCGCACAGACAGGATGGAACTGTATAAGCAGTCTCGTTTCCTCCTGGGAAGGAGGCTCACTAAAAAATTGATTTCCATCATGAATCTGGCAACTGTTTTCAGTCATGCGATAATAGGTTCAGACCTCCATTTCCTGCAACGGCATGCAAGATTCATAATTTAATACAGAGCTGCTCTTGCAACTACTGAAGCATCCCACTCTCCTACATCATTATTTCAACAATGACCGACACTGACGCAAGAAGGCACTCGATTCCCTCCAAATCGACTCGAGACATGATGCCTTGTCGTTCGTCAGGGCCTTGTTGTCATTGAGCCAACACCTGCACCCGAGACACGATCATTAAATATGAATCGCCATCATCTCCGATTCTGCGGGGCTTCGTTACACGAAGGAAACGGGCAAGAGAGTATAGTAAATCCATACAGAAACCTGTCAAGGCTTGGGGATCGATAATGAAGACAAGCGCAAGAGAACATATTGCTACCGACATAATATGTGGGGCGGCCCATTGTTCTCACTGAGACGTCTTCGGAACTGAGCGGGTAGGTTGGGAAATCGGATAGCAGGGAAAGAAAGAGAAGGGATGTGTGCTTGGAGAGGCGTGGGTGAATGAGGAGGATGTCCTTGCGGGGGTGGCTTTGAATCAGACTTCATGGGGCTTTTGAAATCGGAACTGAGAAGGACTGATACATGGTGGAAATGCATCTGCTGTCTTTTGTTCTCGTTGAAGATTCCATCTCTCTCTCTGGTTCTAATTAAGTAGAAAAAAGTAACGACATCATCTCGTCGCCATCTCCCTTCCCTCTTTCCTTGCAAAAGATTTTTAAAAGGCAAACAGGAAGTACGCCTGAGAAGTTGTGTCCGTCTGTCGCGCGGGAGGCCGAGGATCGATCTCATCACTAGGGTACCCAATGCCATCTTCGCAATGTGATCGTAGAAAAGGGGAGGGGGGGGTGAAGGGGAACGAGGGGTAGACTGCTGAGAGTGGTAACATCTCATGCAGAAGATGAAGAAAACCTCATCTAATCATGACTTAATAAAATGAACAAGCAAAGGGCAAAGAGCGACCTGAAAAACACCACCTCTGGGCTTTAGATCTAGAAATCGCAATTTAAACCTGGAAATCATTTACAGAACTAATTTACCTCTTCTTTGTCTCATGGAAAGCAATCTCAGGATGTTTTCCATTGAGCCAGATTAATTCGGAAAGTCATTAGGGTGTGTTTCTTTTACCTCTCCACAATTTTTTTCACCCTTTGCTTAGTAGGGACGGAAGAGCTCCGCCAGCTGCCGTCAACCGATGTGTAAGGGTGCAGAGGGTGAAACTGAGCATATTTGACTGAAAGTTAGGGATTCTCTCTGATTCTTGTACTCTCGGTGCAAACAACTACTGTTAGACGGGCTGAAGGGCCTCGAAACTCAAATTTATAGATGGGAGCAAAACTTTACTTTCCATCACAAAGGTCCCTGCAGACCTGGGAGTTTTCGAATAGAAGTAAGTTTTCTGATGGGAACTTCAATCATGTCTAATCTGCGAGAGACCCTTAGCTGAAGAAGAGAGATTTCTATCCGAACTTTCGTGCGAGTCTCGACCAGCACCTCCTATGCTGTCTTCCTACTAATGGCAATGAATGGCATTGAGAAGATCGATGACTTCTTGGAGACCGGAAGCATTTCTCCCGCACACTTCAGTCCCCCTCGGGCCCCCCACCCCCTTCGTCCTCCTCAGCCTCTAAGTGGAACCAAATTCGCCTCCATCACTTCAATGGCGTCGTCTATTCATAGCTGAACCAGAAATAAGTTGCATTATTTATTTCCTCTATTCACGTTTAAGCTCATTTAAGATCATGGTTTAAATAAACCATGATCGAGAAACGTATCGTGGAGGTCGTCATTAGCAATGAGATTTCAATTTCTTTTTCATTATTTGCGCCGCCCCAGAGTCGACTAGGAATATGCGTAACGGAAAATACTGACTGCGTCTCTTTTCTTCGTTCATTCTTCGCATTCCGACCGTAAAGTCATCAAAAAAGCACAAAAACTCCCGATCTTTTCGGAGAAGCTCACATCCTCACGTGTCAAATGACAGTCTCCTTCTCCTTTCAGATCGTTTATCAGGATCAAAAGCGCCAGGGGAATCAGTCCGCCAACTTCTGCGGGGCTCGTCGCATCAAGAAGATTGCGGCTCGAACCTTCTGGTTTCACGTTCGTTGAAGCTCCTATCAAACTTCTAGAGAACTCGTTTGTTGCTGCGTGTAATCGCTTAGGATCTGAGACGTAGAAGTTTTTCAGAGGAATTCGCACGTAAACATTTTTCAGTCCTTCGAAGGCTACGACTTGACCCACTTTCTACCTCGGAAATTTTTTCTTGATCCACGAGTAATTTCGAGTGGAGTAGAAGAGTTCCGAGGTAAACAAAAAAAATGAACACGGAAATTCCCCTTGGGATCCTCCGACTCATCTGAATGCCTTCGTAAAGGGAATGTAAAGAAATTATCCTCGCAGGCCGCGGTAATGGTGCTGCTCGCATCATTAAGCCTTAATGATTCCCTGTACTGGATATTAAGGTTATAGGATACAAAGGCTCTTTTTTTTCTGCCTTACATAGACTCCTGCCATCAGCACCCAATGAGATAATATGGCAAACCGATCCCTTTTCCGCAGAAACCAAGAGAAAAAGATACGAATGGTGGAACGTTCTCGCACCCAACATAAAGCTTTTTGGCAGCTCTATCCATCTCCTCGGCGATGGTTGCTCAAACTTTTGGAACTCGCTGGCCGAATGACCGATGGATTTTTTTACTCGCCTAAACTTTAAGTAAAGGTCAAGGATTAATGCGACCAGAGACGAGTAACCAAATAATTTTCCCCGACCTTATTTGAGACCATGTTGAGAGCATGCGAGTGATTTTGATTAAATTTTACATGCAGGTTTCCCTTCGAGAGTTATTGAACGGCTGCGAATAGTTCTGAAATTGCCTTGATTGCCTTGATTGCCTTGATTGCCTTGATAAATTTACCTTGATTGCGGATTCTCGGAACGCCAAAAGACTTTTGGGAAATGTTTCATTCGATCATCCTTCTGTATCAAGTTGGTACTTGTTGGTACTTGAGTTGGTCAGTTTTACAATTCTTACCGACTTTGGCGCCCTCGAAATTTCTGGTTCTGATATTTGTTGCAAGGAAATTTATGCCACATACATAGTCTAACATCGCCAGGAAATCATAAAGTCTTCTTTTTCTATTTGCTTCTCGCGCTCATTGTTCAATGTTGTGCTCTGCACTCGGTGATTAATGATCGCATACTTTCCTTGGATTTCACTGCACGGAGAGAAGATATGCCTCCAGCCCAGATTTCACGCTCGCCGAAGCTGCTATCAGACGTTTGTTGAAGAACTCGCTTGTAATAACACTTTTAATTGAGACCCTTGCAATGCCCCTGCCTCTGTTCTGAGCCCCGAATGCGTGTGATTGCCCTGCAACTCGATCCCTGATGTCTTCCGTACGGATTCTCGAGTGAGCATTTCCCGTTTTTTTGTTGTTGGAAGGTTTCTCTTTGTGCTTCCTTCGCTTCCTTCTTCAGAACAACAGCAACTCGACAACAAGCTTCTCGTTAACAATGAACTTCGATAAATAATAATTTTAAAAATTCGAAGCAGTGAGTCATAAAATCGGTAGGAGTTTCAAGATGTAATTTGAATATACACTGAGAACCAAACATATTAATGGTGCTGGGGAAGGGTTCCATCAAACTACGAAAAAAAAAGCACTCAGGAGTTTATTGACGGTATGCTCAACATGTGAATAGGAGTTCCTATGATCTCCTATTCATATGTTGAGCGCACCTCTAAAAATGGAAAAATGGCCCATGGAAATTAATTAAGATTTGAGCGTTTTTGGATTCTAAAGTGCTTGCAGTCTCATGAAAACTAGCTGCAACTTATTCCAACTTAGACGATAACAGAGAAATATAGAAATATTGAGCATAAATAGTCAAGGAACAAACCTCAGAAAATTTGTTTGTTTGAAGTTCTCGTAGCAAATGATGAAGAAATGAGAGCAGAAACTTCCAAGAACATTCCTCAGTCCCCAAGGTCACAATTTCAGAAATACTTGCTGAAATTCAAATGCTCAGAAGAGGAAAAGTATGTGGCAAATTTAATGTTAAAATCTTTGACATAAATTTCCACCACCAACGCCCGATTTATTCCTCACAGGATCTTAATGGAAATCGTGGGGTGGGGAGTTTGACCGCTCAATTCGGAGAAGTTTTGCAGCTCCCATCGGATCGAAAGAAACTATTTGCTGTTTTTCCAGCACTTTTGTCCTAAACTCTCGTTTCCACCGATCCCTCTCATACCTCTACATTTCGATCCCTTTTCCTTCCGTGACATGGGGCAAAGGGCTGTTCATGGTGGAGTTAGCATGAAATTCACGGTACTCTTTGAAAATACCATGGAAATAGCATGTCCATGTACGGTGACAGTCCTGGATGTCTGCTCTCTCGCGATGGAAACATAGGAACGTCGATGGAACTCACTTGATTAACATGGGGATCCCGGCGGGTGTCATGTCTCTTGAGATGCCTTCCCACGACTCCATGATTGCGATTCTTTGCCTCACGGTGAGGGGCAGACGGGGGTCGACGGGAGTGAGGACGCGGGGTGGAGGCGGGGGCTCCAAAGGATTTTCCTTTTTCACCCCCGGCCTCTTCTTCGGATCCTTCCTGAGGAGGCCGAGACTGAACTTGATACTCCTCACTCGACACATGGCTCGTCGCTTCTGACGACAGAACGGCTTCCAGTAGCTCGCCGCATGTCCATCTTCCTTCCAGGCGCAAGTCCCGGGCCGGAGCGAGTGGGTGGGGTTCGTCCTCCATTCGCTCGGCAGGGAGGAAGGATGGAGTCTGTAAAACCTCCCATGCCCCCGTAGGGGAATTCATAATGAGTCTCTCCTCTAGTTCGTTTGTTTTGGCTCATCAATACCTGCACCCTAAACGGTAAATCTCATTTCACTTTTCTGTGAACTGGGGTTTCACCATGTTTTTAAAGCATTAACTGTAAAGTGGTATTTTCTTCCTGCCCATTCTCCGAGCCGTTCGACTGCATCGAAGGAAACACAAAAGAGCCTTACACATTAGGTAAGGACTCTAAAATAATCTTAATAATATGTACGAAAGACTGGTACATCCAGGGTGGTACTGCCCTTGAAACGACATAGAACGGACTAGGTCTGTTTAAGATAAAGAGAATTAATTTCCTTCCTATATTCAGCTGTGGGAACTCATGCATTGGGTTAAAAGAAAGACACCCCATTGTTTCCTATGGGAGGAATGTCACTTCGTATGTGCGACTAATAATGACAAGTTAAAAAGACGATCGACCTTGGAAGGCTATGAGGTGCTGGAATGAGGATTTCTCTTTTTCAGTACCCTTGCCTGAACCATATAAAGCCCTATCGTACTATTTCCAGGTGGATCTCTCCACCAAAAGCGTATCGATGATCTCTGCTCGATCATCTCGCCATGAAAATTGACACGCAGTCAGATCATGATGAGAATAACATGCAGCCAAAATTGTATGTCTCTATAGCAAATGAAGAGACGGAGGCTTAAATTCGCCACAGGTGAAAAATAGAGCCTCAACTTCTCACCTTTTGAATTTTCCTGTATTACTGACTTCAACGAACAACTAATAATTTGTAATTGATGACCATTCACGTATTTGAATTTTGAAAATTTCAAATCATATGTGGAAATCCTATCCCCACATCATGAAAACTCATTTGGCACATAGGTTCATGGAGACATGGGCTCCTTTCCTCTCAAATTTGACACAGGTGTCATGATTCTCACGATGGGATTCGTGGTATTGACATTTTTGGAATATTGGTAATGTTTAATTATGGAAATTTCCTGTAAAACGGGAAAATCGTTTACTTCTATTAGCATTCATTTGTCACTTTTTCTTTTAGTTTTCTTTTAAGATATCAACTAGCTCTTTAGGAAAAATAGCGAAGGTGGACAGGAGAGTTATAATGACGGCGCAAAGCTCATTTTCAAAATCTGAACGGCGCCAAATTTTCGCACTGATAGGATGAGGCATATGGGAGGAGAAATTTCGAAGATCTGACGGGGACCTATTTATTTAGAGAAAATCAGTTCACCGAGTATTCGAGTTATAGCCCAAATAGACACATTTGCCGTCTCGAATCGGATCGTGAGAAATCGCCGACGGAAACGGACACCCGTCGAAAAAGAATCGAATTTCAGAAGCCTGTGCCTGGTGATCGCTTTTATTTCGTGTTGTGAGAAAAGGAACTAGAAAGACCCCGATCTCTCACTTCAAAGGGAAAGGGCGGTTTTGCGACTCGCCTCTCTGCGTAAATCTGCTTTCCTCGAACGTCTTCACAAGACGAGGAGGAACCTGAACATTTTCCCGTGAATATAAAATAATTCATACGAGACACGTCGTCATAAATTAAAAGACAAATAAGCCCCCATGACCTGTCGTCCTCCCCCCCCCCCTCCTCCCCCAGCTTGAGAACCGCTGCCATGAGATTTTTCGCCTTTTCTCTGAATGCCGTCAGCTCCTTCTCCATGAAAAAAGAAAGATATGTCTAGTTTAAATCCCATTCTTTGGGGAGAAAAGAACGGAAAATGCCTGCATTTTATTGCGAAACCCTGTAAAAACAAAGCCCCTTAAGTCATTTTAGATTTTGTACATTTTTGTAATGTAGGAGGCCGAAATTCAATAGCGCCCAGTCAAAAATTTTCCTTGGTTTATCGTCGGGCCATAACTGGGGAAATTGGCTCATTTTCGGCGAATGATTGGTCGGCCAATCATTCGCCGAAGATGAGCCAACGTGACTGAGAAGGTTCCGAAAACCGGCGTGAGATGAAGTCAAAGTGGTCGTAGTGGGGTCACTTCTATTCAAATGAGTCCTTTTGTCCCTTTCACACGGTTTCCTGTGGTTTCTCATATAGATCTCAGAGAAAGACAATTTAATTCCTTGAGATATTTATCAGAAGATGTAACCTAGCCCTGGAATAAACCCGGAAAATCCGGCCTGGAGGTCCGTGGGAAGATCCTTCTACTTTCCACTAAAATCTGCATTCCCACGCATGATACCCATGCATACTCACGTGATTCCGCTCCTAGATGGTTTAGTATCGGTAAGGGGTGTAACTTGGGATATTCTCAGCCCTTGGCGATAGGAGTGTGATTAGGGAAGGTACTGCGCTTTCATCTCTCCCAGGTGAAGGAGCAGTAGGGGGCCAAAGGATCCATTCATGTCTCTCCAAGATCAATAATGCTCTAGATCAATGGTGCGCAACCTTTTCCCCCTAGAGGGCCAAATTGAGATTTCGGCCCATGTTCGAGGGGTTCGAGGGCCGCAGGCCCTCGAACCGAAATAGGCCGCACATAAATATGGATCTTTAGAGACCGGAGGCATACAATGGGCCGCAAAAAAGGCCTCCGCAGGTCGCAGTTTGTGCGCCACTGCTCCAGATGCAGTTTATGTGGGTTTCTTTCTTACATCTTTTCACCATTATGAAAAGTCGGCGCATCGTTGGGGCATGTGTAGTTTCCCGGCAATGAGCCAAAGTTAGCCTGGTGGAGAGCCAACAAGACATGCCCGATCATAAGCCGGTTTAAACCAACTGTGAGCCAACCATATGCCAGTGAAAAGCCATCGATGGCTCGATGTAAAATTTTTGAATGAGGGCATGCTCCATCAATGAAGTGCAAATGTTTCGAAACATTTAAAATAGTACCTCTCAAGCAACTCGCTCATCCATAAGAAAAATAAATAAAATTGGAACTTAAAGTTTAAAACCATGCGTCTCAGTTCTCATTTATATTCAATATTTTCCTGTTTATCTGAGATCGCGAAGTGAGAATGTCAATATTGAATGGGATCAAGTGCGTGCCATTCCATGAAGCGCTCAACATTAATAATATGAATAATAATGCTACAATCTTAATAAATATCTGAGTCACTGAAGCAAAATTCGGCAAAGCACATTGGCACAAAAGTGTATTGTCCTGGCCAAAATATAAAAAAACCGTGTTACCTTGCACGATTCTCATGCACTACCCACCAGTCACTTAATAATTAAGCTTAAGAAAACTGCAATTACAATTACCGGGAAATTTATTGTTCTCTCCGTTTTCGAGATGGAGCTGTGAAAACGTGACAAAACACCGAGTAACCGTCCGCGCCCTGATTTGTTCAAGTTAACTTGTTGGAACCCCTTGTTGGAAGAAAAAAAACCGTGATAAGTCGGTATGGATTTGATGGAACATTTTATTAGCAGGTACTCTCACGTTTCGTGACACCATACTCTAATTTAAATTAATATGGGCGTGGTGCCTATATTTCTCGGCCCTGTGTGCTTCGATCATCGAAATGCCGTATTCTTTGCGTGCCGCAGAGAAAATGGCGAACGAGTGCGACGAAGATTTTGGCATTTCTCGACCGAAACGTTCGTAATTCAGCAGTCATACGAAAACCAGCTGCTACAAGTTGCTAGTAGTCGCTACTTTGACGATAGGAATCATATATCATCGAGTGTATCTTCAGCGTTTTCCGCTCGAGTCCGACTTTCTTTTTTACTCGACTCCAATGCCTTGAGAGCACGCAGATGCAGACGTTCCAAGACGGGTGAAAAATGATCGAGTAGATAAAGTGTAGATCCAGCTGATGATTCATTAGAAGTATTGAGTACATAAATGATCTTCCCTAATTAATGATTCCCTGATTGCTTCCAAGAATTGTTCTGAGGATCCAAGCATAAATCCACTTGGAAGGATCCCCTTTCTCTAATATAATCACATTACATCGCATCGCATCACATCACTCAGCAACTGAATCTTCATGTGAACGAAGAAGACGAGAAGGTACTTGAAAATCTTGTAAAGAGGGTCAAGGAAGATCAAGGAAGGTGAAGAATCTGTTTTTCAATACGGGCCTTCGAATTTGCATGCATGGATGCATGGATTCATTTGCATGAATAATCTGTACTTTCTGCTTCGATGAGTCAGAAGGTTCAAAACAAGAAGCTGTTCCACTCCTCATTCACTCTTAGGGAATTCCAAGCGTTTAGGTAGTAAAAAGTAAGCACTATGTGAGCTATTTTAAATGTACTTTCTTATTACTCACCAATTGCTCCCTCATCGCTCGTATTGAAGTGAACACCTTGAAGTTCTTCGCCAGGCCACTAGATGGGGGTAAGGGTCTCGCTTTTCGCACAGTACACAAAAGTTCCCTTTCCTCTTTCCCNAAGTGAACACCTTGAAGTTCTTCGCCAGGCCACTAGATGGGGGTAAGGGTCTCGCTTTTCGCACAGTACACAAAAGTTCCCTTTCCTCTTTCCCTGGAATCGTCCCTCGCAGGATTATTTAGTACCTCGCCATGTGTCTCGCCTAGTCTCATTATAGGGATCAATAAAAACGGGCACTTCATCATTTGTTATCCACATATTCAAGATAGATTCGTGGAGCCAGGCCTTAAACAAGCACATGTTCCTGACCCTCTCTTAAATACCGCAGTGGAAAAAAACTAGAATACATAGGGGACGTCCGTGAACTCGATTCTATTATCTCCGCAACCTGATGGGAGAATGAGGAAATGAAGGACTCATATCGTGGACACTTCATGGAACCATAAGAGGTGGTTCGTCCTCTGACATGTACTGTAATCGGTACAGTCAGAGGTAGGTCAACGCCTGTACTGTTTTATGTCTCGTACCTATCTCCATCTATCCTTTGGACCTGAAATCCTTGATTTCCAAAAACAAAAACGAAAGCGAAAGCGACACACAATATATGCGAGGATTTGCGTATTTGCATGAAATCCCTATCTCCTGCGGGGAGC